TTCCCTGTCATCACGCCCCACTAAACTCGCCGTTAATACGCACAATCAAATGTGATAAATATAACGGAATATTGTAGCATAATTTTGGGGGGCCAAAACTAAGCCGACAGAAATAACACTTGAGCAAATATTAGATCAGCCATGGCTCACAATTTTAGCCAGCTCCTTGCCGACCTCTCCCTCTCTTTCACTCGCTCATTCACTATCCCCTTCTATTGGACATACATACATTCCGTTTTTCCATTTGCCTGCACAGAGAAAAAAAGTTTAGAATGAGGAAGACAGCAAAATGTTGTTATTTCTTCTTTATTATAAGGAAATGTATTTATTTTTTTGATATTAATAATTTCTTTTTAACATAAATTATATTAAAACACAACAGTTTTAATACCAATCCATACTTACATTTCCAGTGTACCTATTAGCCAGTGTTTGTTGTGGCAATTTCTGTTTTGGCCAAAAAAAAAGAAAAGGGGAATAGGAAAACTGGTCGGGGGAGTCATCTATGTATGAGTAATCGCTTTCATGCTTGATGACCGAAATGATTAATGGATTTTGGGGAAATCGAGCCAAGTCCAAGATTAAACGCAACAGTTTCCAGCATTGATCATTTGTTATGCCCCAGCAGAAAAACATCAATTCCATTCGAAGGTTTCTTTTGGGATGGAATTAAGCACTTAAGCCTTTAAAAATAGAACCAGTAATAATTCCCCAAAAGGGAGTTAACAATCTACCAGGCATTATAAGCTCTTCAATTTACCAAAACTGACATTTCCACATGCACAATTTTGGCTATGAAATTTTGGTAACATAATGAAGACCTTTATGAAATGTGCAAGCACTATAATTATAGACAAGAGTTTAATTCACACATGGATCACAAAGAGACGCTTCAAAATTCACCAGAATAATTATTCAAGCATCTTGACTTGGGTATGAAATCAATTTGCTGAATTCATAATTATCAACTAGAGAATCAGGTATTGTTGCATTTGAATAATTTGTACTTCCAAAGACGGCAGCCAGGCAAATACAAATGGTTTTGTATCCCATTGGAAGGAGCAACAAGCCATAAACAAGCCAAAACTGGCCGAATGCAAAAAGGACTCTGAATTCAGCCGCATTTTGCTGCCGTTTTACCAAGCAACCAAGTTTTTTTTCAATCTCCCCTCCTTCTCGTTCTCCAGTTCAGTTTCAGGCAGTTGTGCCGTTGTGACTCTGATTTTTCGGTGCTCTTGTTTGGGCCACTGGTTTTGTCATTGTTTTTGGCTTGGCGTTTGCTTCGTCGCAGCTATCTCTGGCCGCAAGGATTAATGGGGTCAATTTGGCTGTGACACGCACCAACCGCCACCCAACACCCACTGCCCACATCACCATGGCCATCAAGGCTGCAAGTGCAACTGGCTCATAAAGCATACACTTTGGGAAAAAACATAAGATCCTGATAATAAATATTTATTGCCATTCATATATTAATGCAAAAGCAAAGTTTTTTAATATACTTATAAAATTCAATAATTACTTGAATTATTTAATGAAAAAATATGATTATGAAGAATAATGAATATTAGCTTTGCTGTTTTTCAAAATACGAGTATATATTTCTTAATTTATAAATGTAATTTGAAAAAGTTAGTTAAAGTATTTAAGCTTTAAAAACATTTAATATTTTCTCATCCCTCATCTCATTAAATTCATTTGAAAAAAATCAAAAATATAAATATTTGCTTAGTGTATCTACGAGATGCGGCTCATTTCTCGCCAGTGCCGAATGCACTTGGCATCAAGAGCAAAAGCCAGGCCAACAAGCCGGGGACTAACGCAAAGACAAAGATTCCATTTCAATTTACTTTTTTAAATTGCAAACTTTTGCGACAAGTTAAAGCCGCCACACACTCACACACATACAGATATTTTGGAAAAAAGGGAAAAACAAACATTTCCCAAAGCAACACACACACACACACACACACGCACATCGCCAATAACACGCAACAAGAGAAATGAGAAAAGAAAGTTGAAAAACGAACCCAACTGAGGACAAATTCAACATGTCAGGCATTAGAGAGGGATAGATACAAATAAAATGAGTAGAAAGAGATGGAAGCGAGCAAGAGAGATGGGGAACTGTCACGAAGATGAAACTATTATCCACGGAAATTAGCGGGTTCCAATGACAAAAACACATGAAATGCAAAAACTTTCCTCCCTTCAAGCTTCAAGCTCAATTTCCAAATTGTTGTCGACATTGTTCTTGTTGTCCTTGTTGCCACTGCCGCCTTGTTGTTTTCCCATAAGAGGTTTTGTTTCCTCATGGAACTTACTAATGCGAATTTAAGTGCGAGCACATCCCAAAACCAACTAACCAAACCAGGAACTTTAAGTATTTAAGACTTTTCCATGCAAGCGACACTGCCATGAGTTATATTGGTTTATTTTAACCATTTTACTTAGCTTCTTAATGGCTTAGACAAATATCTTTAAAGAAAGTAAAGATGATTGCTTTTCTTTGTCTAACTTTAAGCTTAATAAGATAGTTATGCCATATATACATTAACTTTAAAGAATCAAACGATTTTCGAGATACATTTAAGCAGTGGCTAAAAGTATGCAACAAATTAGTTAACATATTTTCAAAGGCTGCTTACTTTCTTAGACTTCCTTTAAAAACTCATGGTAAATGCACAGAAATAAAGTATAACAATATATATATATATCTATATAATATTCAAGCTATTAGGAGTACCAAAAATACTATTTAATGTTCCCTCCAATAAACTTAACCCTCACCAAACAATGTCACATATTTAACAACGAATAACTGCTGCCGCACTCAATCGTTACCCATTTGCCAAGTCAACCTCGTTTTAAGCCTCGTTTTATATTTATAAGTATATGTATCTCTGCTGAGTTATTTTGTATCTTTATTTGTGAGTACATCTTGAACGACATGAGAATTGCCCGGAAGGCTGTTTCCGTTTGACTTTGAGGCCATAAAATTGCCAAAAGGGAGAGCCAAAGAAACAAGCGGAGGCCCATAAAATATGCGTAAAATATATGCGCAAAAATAGTTGGGTCATCTAATGGCTAAAACCAAGTCCAAGACGAAGATAATTGCGCTAGCCCAAAATTTGTCCGCTTCTGTGCTTTGCATTTTCTATTTGGAAATCCTCAGCCCCCGTATAGATATACTCAAAATTTTTACGACCCCAAATGGCATTAAATATCCAAACGTACTTGACGCGACTTTCTTTGGCTACGTGAAGTTCTCAGCTCAGCGCCATTTTCCCTTAACGCTTTTCTTTTCGTATTCCGTTGGATACATCTGGGTTAGTTTTGCTAGTTGCAAGTGAATGGCTGCAAAGGGATGGAACCTAGGGGGAGGGACTCCTTTTTATTGCGGGCCATCAAAAAATGTTAAAAGCCCCGATTTCCATGCCCATTGTCTGGGTCCGTAATTGCTTTGGCTTTGGTCCACTGAGTGTCGGCTTAGAGTGGGAGTGTCAGTCAGTTTGAGTGAGTGTGCTTCAAGTCTCAGATTGTCCTGACTGTCCTTTAATGCATACAATTTCAACCTTATATAGGTACTTTTTTTACATAGCTAAAAAGCTTAGTCCGGGCCAGCTGTCTATAGAACAAAATGCATCTAGTTATCATTTATACACTTTGAATTAAATAATATTAATAATTTCATTTAGATTTTATATTGTCGAAGAAAACTGCTTAAAATGCACTCATATGAAAATAAGATATTTAACTAACCAAATGTAGGTACCATTAAGGCCTTATTATATATAATATAACTTATATATATATAATACAACTATAAATTAATGTCGAAGGAAGTAAATAATTGGCAAGAAAATTATTTTATACAATACAGCGAGCACCATTATTTTATGCCTATTCAGCTATGAAACTTTAAATAATATTCTAATACTCGAGGCATAGGAAAAAACTCATTACTAAGAATTATCCAAAAGATACAGAACTCCTTTCCTGGCTCAGCTCGTACTGAAATTTAGTGCAGACAACAATCTGTTCGATACAGTGTTTTATTTGTGTTGTATAAAATGGCAAAAAAATTGTAGAAAATTTTTAAGAAAATCGTTTTATTTTAATTCAGAAGCTATATATGTTATATAAGGTAGGTATGATGATCAGGTTTTTATAAACGTTAAATTTCTATCTGTACACATTTTTCAGAAATGTTGACTGTTGGCTAACATTACCATAGGTGATGTGATTATACATGATGTTATATTCAATGTTAAAAATAAGTAGAACAAACTGTTAACGCCTATGCTAGATGTGCTAACATTTTGGAGACTTTTCAAGAGCTCTTTGCTCTAACAGACTGGTAACATAGGCCGCTAGTTATGTTAAAAAGGTAAACAAATAAGGCGATTTTTTAAAAATCCACATAAAACAAAAAAATAAGCTCAATAATTTAAAAATCTATTGAAAAAATATAAAAATTAAATTTTTTTATCTTTTAGAAGTTAATTTCCTGTAAATTGTCCCTCCTAACTGACCCAGAAACGAGAAGAACATTCTAAGAGAGTCTCAGCGACAAAGCTACAAAAGAGCAGACCCAAACTCTCCGCACAGCACGAAGCTGTCCACAGACTCTTGATTCTGTCACGAAGTGCTTAACTTCGTCCTTGATTTCGTCAGCATCGGCAGCATCAGAATGCTGCCCTGCGACAATATGTTGGGATTTTACTATATGGCCGCTTGACTGACTGTGGGCTCACAGATTCTTCTTCGGCGAAAGCCAAAGGAATATGGCAGCAAGGACCTGCTCATGACATCAGCGATGGTCTGCTCTCATGCTGCTGCTGGGTCTTCTCCTACTCCTTTTGCCCCTAGTCCTTCGTCCTTCTGTTGCTGCGCTGCTCTGCTCTGGTGGCTCTGCGACTACTGACGGAATCTGAATCGGAATCCTGAGCCGCAGGTTCGCAGCATCGGTGCTTCAGTCTCGAAAAGCCTGCTGTGCGTGCAGGGGTTTTCAACGCGCGAAGCACACGCGGCGTATACGCAACGCGGCTAAATAGCTCTACGATAGTCCAAAAAAGACGAAAAATTACGCGAACTGAATAGGTAGTACGAAAAGGAAAAAAAGTGGAAGGAATATATAGAGATGTGAGTGCCCCGGTCTGCGAGAGTGTTTCGGCCTTTTTCCCATTTTATCGTTTGCCGGCTACCGGTTTACCATCTGCAATGAACCATGTTAAAGGCATTGAACTGTGCCGGCCAAAGCTGCTGTTGTTGTTTTTGTTGTGTTCACTGAGAAAAATATGATTTATGAATTCTTGCTTAATATTTCCTCTTTAAGAAGCATTGATTTATAAAAACACATTTGTTGACAAAAATATTTAAACGTCCTGAACTTATTGTGAACTTTTTTTAAGAAACCATTTTTAGTGAGAAAAACAAGTTGGGAGAAATTTTTCATATATTTTTTTCATTACATCTTAACTTGCCATCATATGACGGTATAATTATTTTCTGATGAAAAATTAAGAAAGTGCTTGCAATGTATACCTTAGAACAACACTAAATTAGTAATATTTTAAGATGCTTTAAATCAAACACAAAATTTGTTTATAGAATATATTTTATTTATATTTTTTTTATACTTTAAATTCAATTTATTTACAACTTACTTACCACCTTAGTAATATTAAAAGATTATCAAATCTTTTATTTCGATTTTTATATCAACTTAAACATTTTGCTTTGCACACCTTTTTATTGAGAGTGATTTTATATTAGGAACTGGAAACGAAATCGATGCCCATCAGAAAGTCTTAACAAGTGTGAAAGGCGGATAGACTTAACCCTTGCCACTCGAGTTTTGTCCGCCTCAAAAATGCTTCTGACAGTTTTGGCCGACCCCTAACATTATATTTCTTTATTTTCTTCTTTTTTTTTGGCAGCCGTGTTCACTTGTCTTCTCAAGTGTCGGCAAATTAATTAACATGACAATGACGAAGGTGAATTGCGTGATTTCAAAATGCTCCAATCAGCTCTCAGCAAAACATTACCACATTTTAAATGCGACAGCGTGTTTTTTTTATAGGAAGTGTCGATGCCTAAGAGGTCTTTCGGATTTTTCGAAGCATTTACAAGTTTTTAATTAGACCCTTTGACAAATTACCGTTCGGAACACGGCACAATAGCCGGTAATTAAATGTTTATTGCCGGCGATTTTTTGGGACCGAAAGGGCGTGATTGAAGTGACTCGATGGGCGGTGTGTAATTGTCGGGTTTTGTCCAAGAGGACAGGTAAGCCACTCGACGGTGACTTAATCAGCAGGTGGATGAGTATTAAATAGGAAGATTGGGTGGAGATATTAAGGAAAAGGGTATTTGGTATTTAACACCAATTAGGTGAAATAATACAAAAGGAAAAAAGGAATTTGGTAACCTCTATAAGAGAAAACAAGCTGCAATTGGCAAAAATGCGAGTCACATCTAGGTTAAAAAAGACCAGTAAATTCCTAATGTCAAATAGGGGTTTTACATTAAATTGAACTTTAAAAATAATTCAATATAGTCGGTACAAGTATTTTTCTTTATATTAATAAACTAGACTTTATATCGTTTTTGCTTTAAAAAAACTCGAAGCACTTAAAATATTTCTAAGCACTAAACTATAACCACCATTGCATTCACGTTTTCTATTTTTATTCGAACTAAAACACTGAGGTTGTTTCACAACAAAGCACAATTTTCTATATTATTTATGGAATAACGAAATCAATATCGCATTAAATTTTCATTTTATGGTTCGTTCCGCTTTTGCACTGCCGCAGGGCTTGCTTTAAACTTGCGTCCCTCCTGGCAACGTGTGGAAGTTCCTTGTCATGCTCTGCTAGCTCCTTTCCCTGAATTCTGAGTCCTTCTTCTCCCACACGCCATTTCACCAGCCCATTCCAACCAATGCTTTCATATTTGTCTAGTATTAGGGGTGAGGACTTTCAACTGCTGCTTTTGCTGTTACTGCTGCTGCTTCTGCTGCTGATTCTCCTGGTTCAAGTATAGCCACTTAAACCCTTTTGACAATGTCAGCCATCAGGCTCAGATGATGATGATGATGATGACGATGATGATAGCGATGACGATGACAAAGTGGATGATGATGATGTGGCTCAATTCAAAACAGCCGTCACACAAGTTCGCCAAAAAAAATGGCAAAAAATACAAGCAGTTTCCATGCATGGCATGAACATTAAGAAGAAAAAGACTGGAAAAAATGACTGATCCAAATATATCCTCATAATAAAAAAAAAAGACACAAGCAAATGGATGATGATATGTGGATGGTTTCCACTCACTTTAGCTTCACTTGAGTCCCACCGTTGCCTTGGCTTTTGAACAGATTTTCAAGCATTCGGCTAATTTATTTTGCTCGAATAAAACTCATTTACTCATACATTTTTAAAGCAAACAATGTCCGCGTTTTCAAGTGAAATGCACACACACAATTCCTCAAAATTCAAGTGGAGAAAATGTGGCTTAGCAGGAGAAGCTTAGGAGATGGGGGCTGAGTGTTTTGCAATAATAATTTATAAATGAACGAATAAAGGGCGCACACAGCGGCAGCCAAAGGCAAATAAAAATAAATAAATAAAAATGGCAATGCGGCATAAAATGTGCCGAGAAGCCGAGTTGAGCCACCATTCCAGGCCATTTTATTTCTCTCTGTTGGTTTGGAGTTTGAGCAGGCCGGAAATGTAACTGCGACGCGTTTATTTTATTGCGTATACGCGGCGCAGCAAAGTAGGCAACAATTTTTGCGGACTGGGTTTTCGCATGCCTTTGTATTTGCTCATGTGTGTGCGTTTGAGTATTACTGGTGTGTGTTCGTTATATGGCCGCCGCAGCAGCGGCTTAACTTATTTTCCACAAAATTAAACCATCAAAAATTTGCCAACAACAATGTCGGGGTAATTTATTTGACTCATGTGCTGCTGTTAGCTCGCCTGTTGTTTGGGCATAGAAAGCCGCAGCAACAGCAACAGTAGAATGTGAAAAAAACCAGCACACACTCTTACGTGCACTGGGGAAAAATATGTTTTTTAAGTCTGCTAATAACATATATCTGCAATCCTACAATTCTGTAGGCAACATATGGGAAGATTTCTTTTCTTATTTTAAAATTTTAATTGATTGAAAGGAAGCTTAGAAGCTACTTAATATACAAATTTTTCCTAAAAATACCGCAAAAAGACTTGACAATTTAACATTTAAATATCATTTCGCCTTAAAATAATTTTAAACTTCATCAATTTTCAGTTTTAAAGCTAATTTTTATTTTGAGAGTGTAATTCTTACGCTCACACAGAGTCCCATCCAAGCCGCTGGCGTTAGTTGTGGCTATGGTTATGTTGGTGACGCTGCCGCAGCCGCAATGGCTAACACGTACACAAACACACACTCACACACACACACTCTTTACCGCATATAGCAGTACTCACACATTCATACTAACACACATATGCAAGAGATTCGGACCAATTCATTCACTTCGTCTTGTTCTTTGTTGGCTGGCGCACTTTTTTGTTGTCGAAATTAAATAAACAGAGCAGGCATCATAGTCAGCCCCTTGCCACGCCCCCCTGCCAGCCAGCCCCCTGTGATGATGAATTGATGATAATGCCGCCGGGGATTTAGGCAAAATAATGCACAAAACTCATTGCTGTTTTTAGGGGCAACAACGTTTCCTATATATACTTTTTTGGCTCTGCGAACTTGGCTTTGAAAAGAGTTAAGCGTTCATTTATTTACATACATTTTGGTGTATTTTTTTTTTGGGCTCGTACTGCCCGGCGGGCTCAGTTTATTAAGTCTCAAGTGGAGTGCCCCGTTCTACGATTGCTAGGCAAACTCTAACTCACTCCAGTAAAAGTTTTAGTACACTAGCCAAAAAGTATGTTCGAAAAACAAAATACTACATAAACTCTACATTATCCCATTTAACAAAAATTATACAAAGTCTGTAGAACTGCAGGTATGAGTTTAAGCAATTAAAAGTTGGAAAATGTTCGATAAACTAGATTAAAACTCTTAATTTCCCTTTTTTGTTAATTATTTTTACATAAAGTTTAGGTTTTACTAGATGCTAGACATAAATCTATCTTTCAGTGTACTAGACCCTGTCCAAGCTCCCTTTGTTGCCATTGCCTTTGGCCTAAACACAGCCAATTTCATGCAAAGTTGGATGCGCCATCTTCCCCATCCTCCCCTCCGGTGACCTGTTCCACGTCCTTGATGGATGACTTTTGACGCCAGGCAACGTTTGGCGGCCAATTTGATTTGGGCCGCATGGGGAACAGAATGGCGGCCGATCCTAAGGACCCTCGGCAGTGCCTGCAGCTCACAACTGTCGATTTGTCAGACATTTGGCGTGGGACTCAAGGCGGCCGAAAGTGACATGGGGGGAAAAGCGAATGAGCCCAAGTAGCCGGCAGTGTATTACAGATTGAGTTTTGAATCGTTGGCATTCTTGTGTGCTGGAGCCAAAACGATGGCACAAGATGAATGTGCTGGAAAAGTGACGTAATGCCAAACGATAATATACCATCTGGGTCCATTTCACGGGCAGAGAAAATTTAGAATCTTCTAAAGAATTGCTATTGCAATGAATAGTAAACACAGTCCTTACTACTCTTATAATAATAATCTTAAATCAAGATAAAATATTAATTCAGAAATTTAATTCGTTAGAATTTTATTTCTTCCATCACAATTTTCTGACATTTCCAAAGATACAGCTCTTTTAAGCCATATAAAATCATAGCCAGAAACAGAATAAAAGAAGAACACGGATTCACCCTTCCGCATAAATTGGTTCACTTTTGTGGCCGCTCGCATGGCACAAAGACAATCCGCATGACGTATACGCCACATGGGTCACGGGCGTCACGGTAACAGTGAGCTGGGAGCTAGAAGCTGGGAGCTGAGAGCTAGTGACTGTAAGCTGGTAGGTGGGATCTGGCATCTGGGATGACACTCTGTGATTCTACCACCAAAACCTTCTCTGCATGTCTCGTCTCGCCTGTAAGCCAATGCTAAAACAGGCCAAAGCCAACGTCTGAAAGTCGTGCGACGAGACAGACGCCAAATTCCGAGAACGCAACAGTGTGCAGAGAGAAAAATAACTCTAGAGAAGAGTTTCTAATTAAAAATAGCAGAAAAATAATAAATATATGCGATTTCCTGATCAAAAATGTACATTTTTTAATTTCTTAAGTTTAAATCTTAAAATATATTTCCTAAAAATATCATACAATTTCTCGCTATCATTTTCCCAGAAATCAAAATTGAAACCATTATTTTTCCCTTCAGTGTAGCCATAAAGCCATTAAAGCAACAAGAACAAGAACAGCCACAGCAGCAACGCGGAGCCCACGAACGATAAATCTTTAACGTAGATTTCATGCATGTAAGCCAGCCAAAGACTCTCAGGCACGATATGATGCATGAGCCGAAAGCGGGTTTAATATGTAAACTCCTTAAAAGCGCTGAGTTTTCAGCATCAAAAGTGCAGCGGCGTTAATTTGCCCAATAAAATGCAACCATCTACGAAGAGCAACTAGCACAGCCATAAATATCATCAGCCACTGAGCGTTGTAGAGCAATGAAACGAGTTTTCCCTTGGGAAAAGACAAAGACAAAGCCAGTAGCAAGGGGGGAAAAATCAACTGGGAAAACGCAGCGGGTGCCGTGCCGCATTTAGAGGCAGTCAAACTGGCAGCCATCGGGCACAGTTCTTCCTGAGATCCTAAGTCTCCGGCTCCTGCCACCCGACATCCTGCCACCCGACTCCTTGAGCCGAGCACTTCCGCTTCTTATCGCGGCAATGTAAACGCGTTTCCGTTTAGGACTCAATCCCAGGCTCATTTCGCAGCATCGGGAACGGCATTAAACTAGCAGCTCGGCGCTGGATTACAAGTAAATTGGAAAGGATTTGAAGATGAGCCTGCTGCGCCTGCTTGGTGCCCTGCTGCTGGCCACATTTAATGGTGAGTACACTTCAAGAAAATATTTCATTTATTTTAGATATGATAATTAATGAACTCTGATTATTTAGTTTTTAAATTTAAAGTATATTTTTGTAAAATTTTAATAAGTTACCTCTTATCAAAAAAGCGAAAATTGGCCAACCTAATTTTGTACCCCCAAAAAAAGTATAATGACAAGAATCAGGCCAAAGGTTGTACAACTATGAATACCTAGTTGGGCAAGTTATTACATTGCCATTCAAAATTCATTTTTTTGCAAAAAAGGTGACTTCTTTATCAAAAAAGTTCAGTATTTTTACTATAACGAAACCAAATATGGTCCGAATATGGAATTTTACACTTCGTTGAACTTCAAACCTGTAAAAAATTAACGTATTTATTTTTCGGAAAAATGTATGATGGTACCCCTCATCGAAAAGCCAAAAATTGGCCATCAAATAATTTTTTTTCATCAACATAAATAGAATAAAAATGGTTAGTTATGGTCACTGACTGGTCAATACAGGAATTATTTTAGCTGAACGTCTTGTTTGTGATTATATTATAGCTTTGCCTAGAAAACATATGTCAAATATTATATTACTTAATAATCCTTATTCTAAAAATAGTCGAAATTTGGAATGTCAAATCTCGTTAAGTTAGTAATTGAGTTGAATACCTGAGAAAGCCAATTTTAAACCATTTTTTAAAGATAATGGAAACCCGAACAAACATGAATAAAATCAACCGAAAAGTGCTAAAACAGAATAACGTGATTATTTTAGCTGAACGTCTTTTTTGATTATTTTATAGCTTAAAGTAACATCTTTGTGTTATCAAATCAAAAGAGCTTTCATTTCTCTCAGTGCCCAATAAAGAGCTGTTCGAAATTTATGAACATGATTAACGGTAAACCCATCCCCCATCCCAGAAGTGTCATAAACGCTCGGCTTTCGCCTGCTCGCAGCGATTTATTTGCGCTCACAATTTATTTGCACAACTATTTACGAGCGCTGGCATTGGCAATCATAATAACACAACAGAGCACAGCACGAGGGTTGTGGCGTGGCAGCAACAATTCAATAAATGTTGCAATTTGCATCGACAACTACAATAAATTTATCTTAAATGAACAAACATTTTTCTTGCAGCTTTGCCGCCTGACTGGCAAATAAAATGCGATATGCCAAGGGCTTATCGTTGCCACAAAAGGCTGTGCCTGCAAAAAGCACCAACAACAATAAGTAATAACCAAAGCTGCACACAAATTACACCATGGGAAAACCCTCGACAGCACTCACAATGCATTTCAATTTGTTAAAACACTCACTCACATGCCCACTCTACGTTGTCGAAGAGTGCATAAAGATCCCATGAAAACAGTTTGAAAATACGAAAGCCAAAAAAAAAGGGCAAACGTTCAACATGTAAATTACGGAATTTCGTCAAGCATATTTGTCAAAATAATAAACACACATGAGTGTGTACATTCGGATTTTCCTATTTGCCTCTAAAGTTTTTAAGAAAATAGAATAGATATCTCGCAAATCGAAATATTTATTAAAAAAAAAAATCCAGATCAAATTGCAAGATAATCTGTGAGCTTTGGCAATCTTGAATCGAATGTCACAATGGATTTTCTTCTTGGTTTGTTTTCCATATTGAAATCGTCAACTAATTGTCAATTATTTTTGGGTTTTTGAAAAAATACTCTTTGAATATAAAGTTTATTGCCTTCTATAGAATTTTTTATTAATTGTTGGATGTGTGCATTGTAGTTTACTTCCTTTTAATATTTTCTCTAATATTGTATTATTTTTTTGAAGTATTTTTTATGGCATATTTGAGGAAAACTTATTTAATATACAATGCCCAATTCGCATACCCTGTAAAATCAACTACAAGACAACTTTAAATCTGTCTGAATTTATTTCCATTTTTATCAATCCTCATTTTTAACATATTCACAATGCGTTGAGCATAAACTTCCTTTTAATACTTCAAAAATGACTCAGATGCCATGAGATTTTCTGCCGATTTTAAAGCCCAACTCATAGGGAAGTCCAACCTATATTAAAACATTTGCAGGCTGCATAAAGTATTTTGATTTCCCCTTGGCGTGGCTACATAAAAATATGTCAAATGCAAATTATGCATATAAATATAAATAAATATATGAATCAACAAATAAATATGTCGCATAAAGAGATATGAGTATATGTGTATCGGCGGCGGCGGTAGAGGCGGCGGGCACCCGCATCTTTGTGTAAAAGTCAATTTGCTGTCGCCGCCCGAAAGTCGCGAGTGCCATAAACATGGCGAAATGTGCGTGAGACCGCAACGCGGCAGCGGCAAGCGCCATCTGCGAATAAATAAAAATCGAGCGCAAGAGCGGAAAATGCAAAATAATTGCATATTTATGTACGCCCGGCCACTGAGCCAAAGGATCCCGAATAAGGACGAAAGCGCTGCGAATTTCGAGCTGCCAAGCTGCAGCCATAAATCCCCTAGCTGCTTGCCTGCTTTTAATACAACGAATCCCAGGCCAAAATGCGCAAATGCCTGACTGCTCGTAATATTCGCCATACGCCGTCAAAATGTCCGGCCGGGGGCGCCAATTTATTTCAATTAAATAAATGTGCATTTTCCGATTTTTGCTTGCTTAAGAAATGAGATTTAAGATGGGACTTATCAGATTAATCAGCTTATCTTATTTGATTTTAGAAAATTACTGATTAGCCCAACATGTGAGACTATGAAACTATAACTTATGTAATGTACCTCCTAAATAAAATCACAGAATCTTATAGTCAGTTAAAGCACCCAGCAGAGAGTGCTAAATCAGTTGAAAGGATTGGCGTAATTAGTAGAAAATGGCCAAGAGTTGATTGCGCAATAAACCCCCTTTAATCACTCCCAAAGTTGAGAGCACAAAGCCAATGAAATTAACTAAAAATCAGTCAAGAGCATGAATGGCAGCGTTTTATCTGGTCGCTTGTCTTTCGGCCATTATCTTTGCGTTTTGTGCGGCGGAAGAGGAAGCGCGTTTGATAATAATGATAATAATAATAATAATAATAATAACAGTGCCAACACTTGGCCATTGTTTTAGCGAAGCGAAAGAGCAGCAACAACAACAACAACAAGATGACACTTTAATAGCACAAATGCGGAACTAAACAAAAACCAAAATCAACGAAAAATGGGTGTGGAAAGCGACTCCCGCCAGCTGTCATAATGAAACTGTCAAGGACAATAGGGGGCCAACGGAAATACAAAGTGTACGTGTGCCCCTCTGGAAAAGACTCAACCCCCTGAATTTTCCACACCCATCTCCCACCTCCCAGCTCTACTCTCTACACCCTCTTTCGCATCCGCCACTTTCCGGTTTCTGCGATAAAAGCGACAAACGAAAATTCTGTCTGACGGGCAGAGGCCATTTATAAGAGCATCAGTTACAATAACACTGCAGGGCGGTCAGGCGACGGGTGTTGCTCTAAAAGGGGGCGTGGCCCTCACAATAGCCGGAGCCCATTGTCATAAATTAAAAATGAGGAAGTGTATGAAAATAAACAAAAAGCCAAACGGCCCAGCCAGCTAGCCGCAGCGGAAATACAAAAAGCGTTGATAAATAAATTTCTAACAAAACAAACAGCTTCCAGAGAAAAGGCAACCTAAGACCCAAAGTCAAAGTCCGAAATAGCCCAAGATAAAGATAGGGTGGAAAACGTGTTGGCCAGGTCAAGATCTAATAAACTTAAATAACACAAATTACAGACATTAAAGGAGCCTTAGAAAATATTAAAGTGATCTAAGAAAACCGGTTAAGATAATCAGTTAATAAGTTATTCGGTTTAACATATTATTTAATATAATCTGAGTTCTTGGAAAATTCCTTTAGGGACACCTACTCCTTGAGTAAAAGTGCTACCTTGCTACACTTTAAGGTATTTTTGTCAATGCCTTAAATTTGGGGCGATGTCGAAATTCAACGCGAGCCACAAATTTCACAGGACGCATTTCATGTGTCGTGTGCACTCCTTGCCCTCCATTTCCTGGCCAATTCCTTTCATGCCACTGCAACAGCATAGATACATTGTCCCAGAGACTCTGGGCGCAGTGGCCAACAGCAAAGTCCAAAGCCGCAGCGGCTTTGATGGAATTTGCGAAAATACTGCACGAGAAAGACTAGCCAAAACAAATAAGCAAGTAACCTCGGGATTAAAACGAATTTGAAATGCTCTAAAATGATAATTTACTATGAAATACAACCTTTTTTCTTAAACGTATCAAATAGCTAAAGTTACAAAATAATTACAAAATTTCAATAAATTAATGGGTTGTTAAAGTTGATCTGAACTAAAACTTACAATAAATTAAACTTAAAGTTGGTAAATAAACACATTTAAATACTTGACTCAAAGTCATACATCCTTTACCAGACTATAATTAACCTTTCTCGCACATTTCAAGCCACTCTTGACTTTTCCTTGGTAAATCTTAAATAAATTGAAGCCCTGATAAGCATATTCACTTTAGTAAAAAACCATTATAGGGTTTGCTTCCTCGCAACCCCAAACCATTTCGGCGACAGTTTCCGTTCCGCATCCAAAAACCCCGACCCGGACCATATCCCAAACGTTTTATTCTATATAATATAAAATATTTTTGTTTCTATTTTTTGCGGATTATTTGGCTCGCACGACACGTCCAGTTTTTAGGTTTAGTACTTTTTTTTTTGGCCCGGGTGCAGATCCTAGAAGAGCTTTATTTTGGCTTTCGGCATTTGTTTAAATTAAAGATTATGCACAAGTGAAAAAGTAGCCATGCGAGCGTCAAGCAAGGGGAAGCTATTTTGAAATTTAAATATGCGTACATAGCACGACCTTGGGCATCGTGGCGTATGATGGATTTGGGACCGCATGACGTCAATGGGAGCAAAATCTGTTTGTTCACATTTTCTGTTTCGCAGTCGTGTAAACAACAAAATGGCTTTAAATTGCCTGGCAAGTAGTAGCAAA